GTGAATTTATTTAATTTTGAACTAAACCGATTAAATATTCCATAACAGGCTAAAGATGAATAATTCACCCCCGGGGATTTAAAGTTAAAACAAGGGGCATGAAAAATTGCCCATCGGCAACCAGAGGGCCCCATCCCCAGGAAACAAGCTAGGCTTTATTTCGAACGCTCTAAGTTAAATTTTGATATGAAACTGGAATGGATTGCAGTTAGAAAATAAATCAGATCAATATTTTTTTTAAGTTTATGGGACGGTGAATTCTCGGCGGGGTTTGCCTTTTGGATGGCCTCCTCTTTTTTGATTCGCGTTAAGACCAAACTTTGAAGGTTTTACCTCTTTAAAACGGTGATTTGTGAGTAAAAAAAACGAAACGGTTAAATCTGATAAATTTTAACAAATTCATTGGGAATATTTCAAAAGAGAAAGTTTAAACAACTTTATGAGCATCGATTAAAAAGTGTGTGAACCATTGGCCCAAAACGATGTTAAAAAATCGACAATAACTTGTTTAATTTTAATTTAGAACGATCATCCTTAACTAAAATTCAAATTTGGCTAACAAATATTCGAAGCGTTGGTGGAGGAAACATTGGGGGAATCTCGCCTTTTGACGACGCCTAGCAATTGTTTTTAAAGTCCCCCAACGTCCTCTTCGTGTGCCATCCATCGGTTCAATGGGGAAATGCCGCCATCAATATAAAGTTTATAAGGCTCTGGTTTGGACGATTCACATCGTTATAAAATACCATTTGAGTTCCAAAAATATTTCTTAACTCTGCAGAACTTCTCAAAATACTATGTAACATTGAACATGCTGAGTCAAGAGGCTTTGATTTTTCTTGGTTTGGCCATCAAAAAAACCCACATCAGCCGAAAATGTAATCCCCGATGGCGGTATTATAAATATACCATTTGATGATTTAGAGTGCCTCAAATTTGATGTTAAATTTGGGATTTTGATTTTATTGTTAGCTCTTATTTGGCCAATTCTAAATGAACCATGATTCATTACCGAATTGGTTGTGCGGGATCCATTTTCCATTAAGGTTAATGATTTTGAGGAGTTTCCACTCTCATTCAAAAGAGGTCCATTCATATAGAGATCCGGAATATATCGAGATGAAAGCAAAATAGATGACAAAATGATCCTTAAGGTGGACCCCGTTAGGCTTTTTTTTGAATAC